CGGGTGAGAGAGTGAGGAATGGGTGGGAGAGTGAGGAGTGGGTGAGCGAGTAAGGAGCGGGTGAGTGGTTGAGCGAGTGAGTGGGTGGGTGAGAGGGTGAGGAATGGGTAGGAGAGTGAGGAGTGAGTGAGTGGGCGAAAGAGGAGTGAGTGGGTGGGTGAGTGGGTGAGAGAGTGAGGAATGGGTGGGTGAGTGAGGAGTGAGTGAGTGGGCGAAAGAGGAGTGAGTGGGTGGGTGAGTGGGTGAGCGGGTGAGTGAGTGGGTGAGAGCGTTTGACACGACTCTACAATCCAGACGGATGTTCGCAGATTTCCATGACAATGTAAAAGGAGCTTGCGTTGCAAATTGTAATTCGAACGCAAAAACCCCAACAAATAAACGAGATCACTTACCGTGTGTCATCTTTTTTGGGAATGTTCAACAACAAAGTCTGTGTGTGGTGCTCCTTCACCAGCGCCTCCGACTCGCACGGCTCGTGTGAGTCTACAGACTCACACAGACCTACAGACTCACACAGAGATCCGTAGAGTCGCACAGAGACCCACAGACTCTCACATAGACTCACACAGACCCGTAGACTCGCACAGAGACCCACAGACCCACACAGACTCACACAGACTCTCACACAGACTCTCACACAGACTCACACAGACTCTCACATAGACTCACGCAGACACTCACAGACTCACACAGACCCACACAGACTCACACAGACCCGTAGACTCGCACAGAGACCCACAGACCCATACAGACTCACACAGACTCTCACACAGACACTCACAGACTCACACAGACCTGTAGACTCTCACAGAGACCCACATACACTCACACAGACTCACACAGACTAACGCAAACCCACACAGACCCACAGACTCGCACAGAGACCTACAGACTCTCACAGAGACCTACAGACTCTCACAGAGACCCACAGACTCTCACAGAGACACAGACTCACACAGAGACCCACAGACACACACAGAGACCCACACAGACCCACAGACTCGCACAGAGACCTACAGACTCTCACAGAGACCTACAGACTCTCACAGAGACCCACACAGACTCACACAGACCCACAGACTTACATACTCACACAGACTCACACAGACTCACCCACCGACTCGCACAGAGACCCGTAGACTCGAACAGAGACCCGCAGACTCGCATAGAGACCCACAGACCCACACAGACTCACACAGACTCACACAGACCCATAGGCTTACATACACAGACTCACCCACCGACTCGCACAGAGACCCGTAGACACACACACAGACACCCACAGACTCACAGACACAGACTCACACAAACCCACACGCAGACTCGTACAGAGACTCACACAGACTCACAGACACACACAGACACCCACAGACTCACAGATACCCACAGACTCACAGACACCCACAGACTCGCACAGAGACCCGTAGACTCACACAGACACCCACAGACTCACACAGACTCACACAGACTCACACAAACCCGTAGACTCGCACAGAGACCCACAGACACACACAGACCCACACAGACACACACAGAGACCCGTAGACTCGCACAGAGACCCACAGACTCACACAGACTCACACCAACACAGACTCACACAGAGACCCACACAGACTCACACAGACTCACACAGACACCCACAGACTCTCACAGAGACCCACGGACTCAGACATACTCACACAGGCACCCACATACTCTCAGTGAGACCTAGAGACTCTCACAGAGACCCACAGACTCACACATACTCACACAGACACCCACAGACTCTCAGTGATACCTACAGACTCTCACAGAGACCCACAGACTCTCAAATACTCACACAGACACACAGACACACAGACTCACACAGACTCACACAGATCTACAGACTTACATACTCACACACAGACTCACACAGACTCACACAGACGCACAGACTCACACAGACCCACAGACTCACACAGACTCACACACAGACTCACACAGACTCACGCACACACAGACTCACACACACAGACTCACACACACACACACAGACACACACAGACTCACACACACACAGACACTCACACACACACAGACTCACACACACACAGACACTCACACACACAGACACACACACACAGACACACACACACAGACACACACAGACACTCACACACACACACAGACACTCACACACACAGACTCACACACACACACAGACTCACACACACACAGACACACACACACAGAGACCCACAGAATCCCCCGATTCTCTCGTGTCAGTTGCACGGTGATGATGATGATATTGTATGATGATGATGATTTTGTATGATGATGATTTTGTATGATGATGATGATTTTGTATGATGATGATTTTGTATGATGATTTTGTATGATGATGATTTTGTATGATGATGATGTTTTTTATGATGATGATTTTGTATGATGATTTTGTATGATGATGATTTTGTATGATGATGATGATTTTGTATGATGATATTTTTGGATGATACATTTTATGATGCTTTGTATGATGATTTGTATCGCGACGATGATTTAGATGATAATGATGAGTATGGGTCTGTCCCGTGACCTCCTGCACCTAGCCTGGTACAGCAGTCAACCCACGTCACCTGGGTCTGTCCCGTGACCTCCTGCACCTAGCCTGGCACAGCAGTCAACCCACGGCACCTGCTGGGTCTGTCCCGTGACCTCCTGCACCTAGCCTGGTACAAGCGTTGTTGTGACGTCACCGGTACAAAGACAAAGATCCCCCGTGTAGCCTCTAACAGACTGTAGGGGCAAGTGCTGTTAGTAGCGAGTAGCAGCAGCACATGAAGGCCGGCACGGCACACGAGGGAGTGGGTGGCCAGCACCACGCCCGGCCGCCTTTGTCTCCCCCAGTGGCGATGTTTACACACCGCTACACCAGGTACTCATTTGAATCTGAGTCGACCTAGGGGAGGAGGTCCAGGACCAGTTCAGAGAATCGTTACCGGTGTTGGCCGTGAGCGGGAATTGAACTCGGGTCACCGGGTTCGCAGCGCAGCGTAGCGCTAACCACTGCACTACCGCACCTACACACACAGACACACACAGTGTACACACACAGTGTACACACAGACACACACAGTGTACACACACACAGTGTACACACGTACACACATACACACACATACACACACTTACACAACAACAATCGCCATTCGCCACTAAGTGGTGGTGACGTCACCACGACGCTTGTGCCAGGCTATGTGCACCTTGAGGCCACGTGAAGTGTCGAACGCCCGCTGGCAGGAGGTCACGGGGCAGACCCAGCAGGTGCCACGGGTCGACTGACTGAGATGACTGGCTGATGCACCACCTGTGCCCCCTACTGTGCCAACCTGCTGTGCTTTAGCCACCCGGCGCTCCGCTCGTTGTTGTGAGCGTCGCTCCTCCGCCCTCCGTTGTTTTTGGAGGGCGACTGCCTCCAACTGCCCAGTAGCATCCTTCACGAGCCTCCTCCACAGAGGCCGATCTTGACACCGCTGGTACCAGTCATTGGCAAGTCTACTCAGCTCCACGTCCTCCTGTACCACATCACTCCATCTCTTCTCTAGCCCGTGCCGCGCCCGTTTAGCCCCCTCGATCCGGCCGAACAAAAGCTGTTCCGGCATGCGGTGGCTGGGCATGCGGGCTACATGACCCAGCCATCGCAGCCTTGCCTGCCGGAGGAGCTCACCAATGGGACCTTGCCCAGATCTTTCAAGGATTTGTGAGCTCCTCACACAATCCAGCCTGGTTAAACCTAGGATGGATCGTAGGCAGACTAGCCTAAATGTTTATAACCGGCGAAGATGTTCCATTTGGGGGGGGGGGGGGGGTACACGTTTCGCAAGCGTAGAGAAGGGAGGGAATGACCGTGGCCGAGAAAACCTGAAGCTTAGTGCGGAGCGACAGACCAGGTAGCTTCCACACAGCGTTACGCAACCGATGAAAAGATAATGCCGCTCGACTAATTCGGAGTGAGACCTCTGCTGTTAAACCGGAGCCGGTCATGAGCACACTGCCCAGGTATGGGAAACTCTCCACTCTCTCCACAATTGCCCCATCAGCGATTGAGAGTTGTGGGGGTGGAGTGTCCGATGGTAAAAAATACCCAGGCAAGTGCTTAGTTTTGGTGGGGCTGATGGTAAGGCCCCACCTCTTAGTGGCACGCTCCAGTCTCAGCAGCAGCGTCTCCAACTCCTCCTCTGGATGAGCAGCTATTACCAAATCATCTGCATACATAACGTGGTTGAGCAATAGGGAGCCATCCCTTGACCGCACCCGGGCATTGATCAGCCTCCCATTGTATCTGTACCAGATGGAAATTCCTCTGGTACAGCCATCAAAGGCTTCACGGACTACGTGGTCAAAAAAGATGTTAGATAATGTGGGAACCAGAGGACATCCCTGTCGTACCCCAAGGTGAACAGGGATTGACTCCGACTCCCGGCCACGTAGTTTTACCCGGGCCCGCTCACCATAATGAAGGTCCTTAATGATCGTGAGCAGAGGGTCAGGGACTCCGAAAGCACGAAGAACAACCCAGAGCCCAGGCCTACTGATGGCATCATAGGCCTTGACCAGGTCAATAAAGCAGAGATGTAGGTCTTGTTGGAATTCCCTACACTTCTGCTGTAGCAGAAGGACAGAAAATATGGCATCCGTGCAGGACCGCCCTTTCCTGAAACCACATTGGGGCTCCGCAAGCCTCTCCTCATCGTGCCTGGCAAGGCGATGTTGAATCATCCTTGCCAGGACCTTTCCCAGCACACCACACCCCCACACACACCCACACCCCCACACACACCCCCACACACACACACATCCCCCAACACACACACACCCCCACACACACACCCACACACCCCCCCACACACCCCCACACACACACACTCACCCCCACACACACACCCCCACATACCTCCACACACACACCCACACACACACCCCCACACACACCTCCACACACACACACCCCACACACACCCGCACACACACCATACCCAACCCTTCACGTTGCTATGAGTGTCGTGGAGTCGACGTGGGTGCCCGGGCAGTTGTTTGCGACTCACTGGGGGAGGGTTTTTTTGCGTTGCTACGTCTAACAAACACACGCGCACACACAGAGACCCATCGCCCGTCGACTCCCGCACAGCTTCTCAAGGGCGACATCCCCCAAAGTTTCGTGGGAAGATATTCCACACGGGACAGGTAATTGCAGAGGGCACACACACACATATACACACATATACACGCATATACGCACACACACATACACACACTTATACACACATATACACGCATATACGCACACACATATACACACACACATACACACTTATACACACATATACACACATATACACGCATATACCCACACACATATACACACACACATATACACACACATATACACACATATACACACACAACAACCGCCATTCGCCACTAAGTGGCGGTGACGTCACCACGACGCTTGTGCCAGGCTATGTGCACCTTGAGGCCACGTGGAGTGTCAAACGCCCGTTGGCAGGTCACGGGGCAGACCCAGGTGCCACGGGTCGACCGACTGAAATTACTGGCTGGTGCACCACCTGTGCCCCCTACTGTGCCAACCTGCTGTGCTTTAACCACCCGGCGCTCCGCTCGTTGTTGTGAGCGTCGCTCCTCCGCCCTCCGTTGTTGTTGGAGGGCGACTGCCTCCAACTGCCCAGTAGCATCCTTCACGAGCCTCCTCCACAGAGGCCGATCTTGACACCGCTGGTACCAGTCATCGGCAAGTCCACTCAGCTCCACGTCCTCCTGTACCACATCACTCCATCTCTTCTTTAGCCCGTGCCGCGCCCTTTTAGCCCCCTCGATCCGGCCGAACAAAAGCTGTTTCGGCATGCGGTGGCTGGGCATGCGGGTTACATGAACCAGCCAACGCAGCCTTGCCTGCCAGAGGAGCTCACCGATGGGATTTTTCCATGTTTCGCAAGCGTAGAGAAGGGAGGGAATGACTGTGGCCGAAAAGACCTGAAGCTTCGTGCGGAGCGACAGACCAGGTAGCTTCCACACAGCGTTACAGTGAGGGAAAAACGATTTGATCCCCTGCTGATTTTGTACGTTTGCCCACTGACAAAGAAATGATCAGTCTATAATTTTAATGGTAGGTTTATTTGAACAGTGAGAGACAGAATAACAAAAAAATCCAGAAAAACGCATGTCAAAAATGTTATAAATTGATTTGCATTTTAATGAGGGAAATAAGTTTTTGACCCCCTTTCTTCCATTTACGAATAATCTCACCAACTGTTGTCACCTTCTCACCAAGCTGCTTGGCAATGGTCTTGTAGCCCATTCCAGCCTTGTGTAGGTCTACAATCTTGTCCCTGACATCCTTGGAGAGCTCTTTGGTCTTGGCCATGGTGGAGAGTTTGGAATCTGATTGACTGATTGCTTCTGTGGACAGGTGTTTTTTATACAGGTAATAAGCTGAGATTAGGAGCACTCCCTTTAAGAGTGTGCTCCTAATCTCAGCTCGTTACCTGTATAAAATACACCTGGGAGCCAGAAATCTTTCTGATTGAGAGGGGGTCAAATACTAATTGCCCTCATTAAAATGTAAATCAATTTCTAACATTTTTGACATGCGTTTTTCTGGATTTTCTTGTTGTTATTTTGTCTCTCACTGTTTAAATAAACCTACCATTAAAATTATAGACTGATCATTTATTCGTCAGTGGGCAAACGTACAATATCAGCAGGGGATCATATACTTTTTTTCCCTCACTGTACGCAACCGATGAAAAGATATTGCCGCTCGACTGATTCGGAGTGAGACCTCTGCTGTTAAACCGGGGCCGGTCATGAGCACACTGCCCAGGTATGGTAAACTCTCCACTCTCTCCACAACTGCCCCATCACCGATTGGGAGTTGTGGGGGTGGAGTGTCCGATGGTACAATATACCCAGGCAGGTGCGTAGTGTGAGTCTCTGGGTCTCTGTGTGAGTCTGTGGGTCTCTGTGCGAGTCTATGGGTCTCTGTGCGAGTCTATGGGTCTCTTTGCGAGTCTATGGGTCTCTGTGCGAGTCTGTGGGTCTCTGCCGGTCTGTGTAAGTCTGTGGGTCTGTGTAATTCTGTGGGTCTCTATGAGTCTGTGGGTCTCAGTGCGAGTCTACGGGGTCTCTGTCAGTCTGTGTGAGTCTGTTGGTATGTGTGAGTCTGTGGGTGTCTATGGGTCTGTGGGTCTCTGTGCGAGTCTATGGGTCTCTGTGCGAGTCTACGGGTCTCTGTGCGAGTCTACGGGTCTCTGTTGGTCTGTGTGAGTCTGTTGGCATGTGTGAGTCTGTGGGTGTCTATGAGTCTGTGGGTCTCTGTGCGAGTCTGTGGATCTTAGTGCGAGTCTACGGGGTCTCTGTCAGTCTGTGTGAGTCTGTTGGCATGTGTGAGTCTGTGGGTGTCTATGAGTCTGTGGGTCTCTGTGCGAGTCTGTGGATCTTAGTGCGAGTCTACGGGGTCTCTGTCAGTCTGTGTGAGTCTGTTGGCATGTGTGAGTCTGTGGGTGTCTATGAGTCTGTGGGTCTCTGTGCGAGTCTGTGGATCTTAGTGCGAGTCTACGGGGTCTCTGTCAGTCTGTGTGAGTCTGTTGGTATGTGTGAGTCTGTGGGTGTCTATGGGTCTGTGGGTCTCAGTGCGAGTCTACGGGTCATCAGTGCGAGTCTACGGGTCTCTGTCGGTCTGTGTGAGTCTGTGGGTCTCTATGAGTCTGTGGGTCTCTGTGCGAGTCTATGGGTCTCTGTTGGTATGTGTGAGTCTGTGGGTCTCTGTGTGAGTCTGTGGGTCTCTATGAGTCTGTGGGTCTCTGTGCGAGTCTACGGGTCTCTGTCGGTCTGTGTGAGTCTGTTGGTCTGTGTGAGTCTGTTGGTATGTGTGAGTCTGTTGGTATGTGTGAGTCTGTGGGTCTCTGTGTGAGTCTGTGGGTCTCTGTCAGTGTGTGAGTCTGTTAGTATGTGTGAGTCTGTGGGTCTCTATGAGTCTGTGGGTCTCTGTGCGAGTCTGTGGGTCTCTGTCAGTCTGTGTGAGTCTGTTGGTCTCTATGAGTCTGTGGGTCTCTGTGCGAGTCTGTGGGTCTCTGTGTGAGGCTGTGGGTCTCTGTGTGAGTCTGTGGGTCTCTGTGTGAGTCTACGGGGATCTCTGTGCGAGTCTACGGGTCTCTGTCGGTCTGTGTGAGTCTGTTGGCATGTGTGAATCTGTGGGTCTCTGCGGTTAAGGGATGGCTCCCTCCTGATCAACCATGCTGTTGTGCGCTGCTGATGATCAGGCGATTGCTGCTCACTCAGAGATTGAATTTGGAGACGCTGCTGTCGCTGAACCTGGAGCGTGCCACTCAGAGTCGAGGCTTTCGCCATCAAAGCCCCGTCATAAGCAAGCACTGCGCCTAGCTAAGGGGCCGTCCATAAATGACGTCACGCACCTGGGGGGGGGGGTTAGACATTAATGACGATTTGTGACGTCACGTGAAAATGCGCAACTTTATAAATAACTATAGACAACACGTTCTGCTTAATTAAATAGACTTTTTTTTAAATAAATGTTTTCTCCTACAACATCAGAGTTGCAGCGCCACATTAAACACGCAACTACTCACAATGACAACAATAGTCTAAAGCGATTTGAAGCGTGTTTTATTTAAAGCTTTCGTGACTGCAGTAATTCATTTTGTTAGCTCTTTAGGTAAAGTCACGTTGAAGGGAAACAATAAAATAATAAAATATATATTAAACAATAAAAAAATTTCTCACGACGTTTCGACCATAACACAAACGGTCATCATCAGGTGTTATGGTCGAAACGTCGTGAGAATTTTTTTTATTGTTTTATAGATATATTTTTTTATTTTGTTGTTTCCCTTCGACGTGACTTTACCGAAAGAGCTAAGGATATGATTTGAAGCGTGTTTTATTTTTTTTTTGGGGGGGGCAGAGCTTTGTGACGTCATATTTGAGGGGGGGTCTGATTTTTTGTGACGCTGTGTGACGAGGGGGGGGGTAAAACATTGTCCAAAATCGCGTGACGTCATTTATGGACGGCCCCAAATTCAATTGCGTAACGCTGCCGCTGCTGGCATGGAAGTTACCTTCAGTTCATCGAAGTTAAATATCGATTTAAAGCTTTTCGTGACTGCAAGGATTCAACTTCTTTGGTTCTTTCGGTAAAGTCACCACCACGTAGAATGGGAATAAGATAATAAAAATAAAACGTGATAAAACATAATGAAATAAAATATGGTTTTTATTTTTTATTATTTTATTTCCATTCCACGTGACTTTACCGAAAGAACCAATAAAATGCATTTAAGTTTCATTCATTTCCTTTGGTTCTTTCGGTAAAGTCACCACCACGTAGAATGAGAATAAAATAATAAAGTAAAACAATAAAATTCTCACGGACGTTTCGGCCACAACACAAGTGGCCTTCTTCAGGTGAAAGGAACAGACCTGTCGGGACGACAGAGCTTCAATGAACGTTGTTAAGATTCGCAGCGTCTTTTAAAGCTGGTTGAGAGACGTGAGGCACCTTGACAAAGGGGTTTACATATCAAACTGTTTCAATGCTAAATTCTCCACGATCAATGCCCTCCCTTCTCTACTGCGCTTTGTGAAACGTGGACCACCCCCGTCCACCCCCCCACGTGGGATGGGAAATCTGCGCCGGTTAGAAACACTCAGGATGGCCCTGGGCTGCGATCCATCCTGGGTTTAACCTGCAGGCTGGATTGTGCGAGGAGCTCGCAGATCCTTGAGAGATCTGGACACGGTAACATCGGTGAGCGCCTCCGGCCAGGCGAGGCTGCGTTGAGCTGGGGTCACGTAGCCACCGCATGGCCCAGCAGCTTCTGTTTGGCCGCATAGAGGGGGCTAAGCGGGCACGGCACGGGCTGGAGAAGAGATGGAGCTGATGGGTGAGTGGGTGAGTGGCTGAGTGAGTGACACGGGCTGGAGAAGAGATGGAGCTGATGGGTGAGTGAGTGGGTGAGTGGGTGGGTGAGTGAGTGGATGGGTGAGTGGGTGACACGGGCTGGAGAAGAGATGGAGCTGATGGGTGAGTGAGTGGGTGAGTGACACGGGCTGGAAAAGAGATGAAGCTGATGGGTGAGTGAGTGGGTGAGTGAGTGGCACGGGCTAGAGAAGAGATGGAGTGATGTGGTACAGGAGGACGTGGAGCTGAGTGGACTTGCCGATGACTGGTACCAGCGGTGTCAAAATCGGCCTCTGTGGAGGAGGCTCGTGAAGGATGCTACTGGGCAGCTGGAGGCAGTCGCCCTCCAACAACAGCGGAGGGCGGAGGAGCGACGCTCACAACAACGAGCGGAGCGCCGGGTGGATAAAATGGAGCGAGTTGGCACAGTAGGGGGTACAGCTGGTGGTGCATCTGCCGGTCATCTCAGTCAGTCGACCCATGGCACCTGCTGGGTCTGTCCCGAGACCCCCTGTCAGCAACGGAGCCTTCGACACTTCACGTGGCCTCAAAGTGCACCTAGCCTGGCACAAGCGCCCTGGTGACGCCACCGCCACTTCGTGGCGAATATTGGCAGGGCTGTGTCTCTGTGTGTGCAGGGCTGTGTATCTGTGTCTGTGTGTCTCTGTGTGTGCAGGGCTGTGTGTCTGTGTCTCTGTGTGTGCAGGGCGGTGTGTCTCTGTGTGTACAGGGCTGTGTGTCTCTGTGTCTCTGTGTGTGCAGGGCTGTGTGTCTCTGTGTCTCTGTGTGTGCAGGGCTGTGTGTCTCTGTGTGCGCGCATGGCCGTGCTGTGCCCAGGCTGGGCCCTGGTAGTCCTCGGCACGCTGAGTGTCGCCTCGGGGGTGGTCGCCTTCTTCCCAGGCCTGAGTCTGCAGCTGCAGGCCTACGTGGCGTGGAGCTGCCGCGTGGCCTGCCCCGTGTGGGCCGGCCTGCTGGTGGGGCCTCTCACTCACCACGCTCACCACGCACGACTCACCACGCTCACCACGCTCACCATACGCGACTCACCACGCAAAACTCGCCACGCTCACCACACTCACCATGCACAACTCACCACTCACAACTCACCACGCTCACCACACTCACCACGCTCACCATACACAACTCACCATGCACAACTCACCACTCACAACTCACCACGCTCACCACGCTCACCACACTCACCACGCTCACCACACTCACCATGCACAACTCACCACTCACAACTCACCACGCTCACCACACTCACCACGCTCACCACGCTAAACTCACCACACTCACCACGCTCACCATACGCGACTCACCACGCTCACTACGCAAAACTCACCACGCTCACCATGGTGCCGATTACGGTGGTGTTGGTGGTAAACAAGAGGGGGATGATGGTGTTGATGATGTTGTTGGTGATGTTGATGGTGTTGATGTTGATGGTGTTGGTGATGGTGTTGATGATGTTGTTGGTGATGTTGTTGGTGATGATGGTGTTGATGATGGTGTTGGTGTTGTTGATGGTGTTGGTGATGATGATGGTGTTGATGATGTTGTTGGTGATGTTGTTGGTGATGATGGTGTTGTTGATGGTGTTGGTGATGTTGATGGTGTTGGTGATGTTGATGATGTTGTTGGTGATGTTGATGGTGTTGTTGGTGATGTTGATGGTGTTGGTGATGTTGATGGTGTTGTTGGTGATGTTGATGGTGTTGGTGATGTTGATGGTGTTGGTGATGTTGATGGTGTTGGTGATGATGATGGTGTGTTGGTGATGATGATGGTGTTGGTGATGTTGATGGTGTTGGTGATGGTGATTATGATGATGGTGTTGGTGATGTTGGTGTTGGTGATGTTGATGGTAGTGACGTGGGTGCTGATGGTGTTGGTGATGATGATGGTGTTGGTGATGTTGATGGTGTTGGTGATGTTGATGGTGTTGGTGATGATGATGGTGTTAGTGATGATGGTGTTGGTGATGATGGTGTTGGTGATGATGGTGTTGGTGATGATGGTGTTGGTGATGTTGATGGTGTTGGTGATGTTGATGGTGTTGGTGATGATGATGGTGTTAGTGATGATGGTGTTGGTGATGATGGTGTTGGTGATGATGGTGTTGGTGATGATGATGGTGTTGGTGATGTTGATGGTGTTGGTGCTGATGATGGTGTTGGTGATGATGGTGATGGTGTTGGTGATGTAGATGGTGTTGGTGATGATGGTGTTGGTGATGTTGATGGTAGTGACGTGGGTGCTGATGATGGTGTTGGTGATGCTGATGGTAGTCACGTGGGTGATGGTGATGATGATGATGGTGGTGATGTTGATGGTAATGACGTGGGTGATGTTGATGGTAGTGACGTGGTGATGATGATGGTAGTGACGTGGGTGATAATGATGGTAGTCACGTGGGTGATGATGATGGTAGTCACGTGGGTGATGTTGATGGTAGTCACGTGGGTGCTGTTGGTGTTATTCACGTGGGTGATGATGATGGTAGTCACGTGGGTGATGGTAGTCACGTGGGTGCTGATGATGGCAGTCACGTGGGTGCTGATGATGGTAGTCTTGTGGGTGATGATGATGGTAGTCACGTGGGTGATGTTGATGGTGTTGGTGATGATGGTAGTCACGTGGGTGCTGATGATGGTGATGGTAGTCACGTGGGTGATGTTGATGGTAGTCACGTGGGTGATGTTGATGGTGATGGTAGTCACGTAGGTGATGGTAGTCACGTGGGTGATGTTGATGTTGCTGGTAGTCACGTGGGTGCTGATGATGGTGATGGTAGTCACGTGGGTGATGTTGATGGTAGTCACGTGGGTGCTTATGATGGTGATGGTAGTCACGTGGGTGATGTTGATGTTAGTCACGTGGGTGCTGATGATGGTGATGGTAGTCACGTGGGTGATGGTAGTCACGTGGGTGATGTTGATGGTAGTGACGTGGGTGATGTTGATGGTGTTGGTGATGATGGTAGTCACGTGGGTGATGTTGATGGTGATGTTGATGGTAGTGACGTGGGTGCTGATGATGGTGTTGGTGATGCTGATGGTGATGGTAGTCACGTGGGTGATGGTGATGATGGTGTTGGTGATGATGATGGTGGTGATGTTGATGGTGATGGTAGTGACGTGGGTGATGTTGATGGTAGTCACGTGGGTGCTGATGGTGTTGATGATGTTGATGGTAGTCACGTGGGTGCTGTTGATGTTAGTCACGTGGGTGATTATGATGGTAGTCACGTGGGTGATGGTAGTCACGTGGGTGCTGATGATGTTGATGGTAGTCACGTGGGTGCTGTTGATGTTAGTCACGTGGGTGATGATGATGGTAGTCACGTGGGTGATGGTAGTCACGTGGGTGCTGATGATGGTAGTCACGTGGGTGATGTTGATGTTAGTCACGTGGGTGCTGATGGTGTCGTCTGCAGGCCGTGTGCGCTGGCGCTGTCACTGTGAGATCCGGGCTCAGGAAGCGGACACGTTCACTGGTGAAACACCATCACCACCATCATCACTACCATTACCATCACTACCATCACTATCACCACCATCATCATCATCACTATCACTATCATCACTATCACCATCACCACCATCACCACCATCTCGATTTAAAGCTTTCGTGACTGCAATGATTCATCTTCTTTGGTTCTTTCGGTAAAGTCACGTAGAATGAGAATAAAATAATAAATTGATAAAATAAAATAACACAATAATATTCTCACGACGTTTCGGCCACAACACAAGCGGCCTTCACTCCAGCGCTGTCCTACCAGACAGTCTCGCCCCTTCACCTGATGAAGGCCGCTTGTGTTGTGGCCGAAACGTCGTGAGAATATTATTGTTATTTTATTTTATCAATTTATTATTTTATTCTCATTCTACGTGGTGACTTTACCGAAAGAACCAAAGAAGATCACCACCATCATCACTACCATCACTATCACTATTGTAGTGGGTTCCAGGACACGGAGACGGCAGAATAGAAGCAGCACTATTTATTTAAACCTTAACAAGGGTTACACTAGAAGGGGTAGCGGCCCCTCCACCCGTACAACTCAGGAACACACCCCAGGCTCTCTAGCCTAAGCTCTAGGCTCCCAGTTCCTCCTGCTAGGGCTCTAAGGGAGGCTATCAGATCCGGCCCTGGTTAGGCACAGATCTGGGCACCCCGCCGACCAGGCCGGCCCTTAGAAGGACTCTGACTCTGGGGCTCTGGGGCCGCACCACTGGCTTGCTGTGACCGCTGCCCTGAGAAGGGCAGCGGTCACAGGAGTCCCAGGGTCTATCCCAGCTGGCCTTCTTTCTTCACTGGTTGCTTCAGCCTCGGGCCCAACACTCTGCCCTGAGCTCCCTGGCTCCCCGCACTTTATACCCACTGGAGCCTTAGCGGACGTTGTTGTAGCCACCAAGGTGTGGGTGAACCACACCTTCCCGTGCCATGTGTTGATTCCCCATAGCACCCCTACACTATCACCACCATCACTATTATCACTATCACTATCACCACCATCACCACCATCATCACTACCATCACTATCACTATCATCACTATCACTACCATCACCACCATCACTATCACCATCACTATCACCATCATCATCATCACCATCATCATCACCATCATCATCATCACCATCATCATCATCACCACCATCACCACCACCATCACCACCACCACCATCACCACCACCACCATCACCACCACCATCACCATCACCACCACCATCACCATCACCACCACCACCACCACCATCACCACCACCATCACCACCACCATCACCACCACCACCACCATCACCACCACCATCACCACCATCACCACCACCACCATCACCACCACCACCATCACCGCCACCATCACCACCACCACCACCACTGTCCCCGTTGTCCCACCGCCCCACGCAGGCCGAGGCTTCGTGCGCTCTCTGCGTGCTGAGCGCGGCTGCCAGCGTCCCCCACCTGTCCCTGGCCCTCTCCTCGCTGCTCATGGGCCCCCTGTGCCGCTACTCGCACGCCGGCGTGGCCGGGACGGCCTACCTGGGCCAGGCCGTGCGGTGGCCCTACCCCTACGCTCTGTGGCAGGTGCCGACACGCGCAGACATACTCACCACCGGCTCGCCGCGAGAACGCGACGCCGCTCACCACGAGGCTCACCACTCACCACGACACTCACCACTCACCACCAAACCACTCACCACCACACCACTCACCACCACACCACTCACCACAAGGCTCACCACTCACCACGACCCTCACCACTCACCACGACTCTCACCACCACGCCACTCACCACGAGGCTCACCACTCACCACGACTCTCACCACTCACCACGACTCTCACCACCACGCCACTCACCACGAGGCTCACCACTCACCACGACTCTCACCACTCACCACGACTCTCACCACCACGCCACTCACCACGAGGCTCACCACTCACCACGAGGCTCACCACTCACCACGGCCCTCACCACTCACCACGACTCTCACCACTCACCACGACTCTCACCACTCACCACGACACTCGCCACTCACCACGACACTCACCACGACTCTCACCACTCACCACGACTCTCACCACTCACCACGAGGCTCACCACTCACCACGACTCTCACCACTCACCACGACACTCACCACGACTCTCACCACTCACCACGAGGCTCACCACTCACCACGACTCTCACCACTCACCACGGCCCTCACCACTCACCACGACTCTCACCACTCACCACGACTCTCACCACTCACCACGACACTCGCCACTCACCACGACACTCACCACGACTCTCACCACTCACCACGACTCTCACCACTCACCACGAGGCTCACCACGACTCTCACCACTCACCACGACACTCACCACGACTCTCACCACTCACCACGAGGCTCACCACTCACCACGGCCCTCACCACTCACCACGACTCTCACCACTCACCACGACTCTCACCACTCACCACGACACTCGCCACTCACCACGACACTCACCACGACTCTCACCACTCACCACGACTCTCACCACTCACCACGAGGCTCACCACTCACCACGACTCTCACCACTCACCACGACACTCACCACGACTCTCACCACTCACCACGAGGCTCACCACTCACCACGACTCTCACCACTCACCACGGCCCTCACCACTCACCACGACTCTCACCACTCACCACGAGGCTCACCACTCACCACGCCGCTCACCACTCAGCCGGTCGGCACTCGTTACCGGTAAAGGACTCTCACGACGCAAGCACACCTGTCCACCCCACGTCCACCACACGTCCACCCCGCCTCCACCCCACGTCCACCCTGCGTCCACCCCATGTCCACCCCGTGTCTCTCTCCCCCCACTCCCCGCGTCCACCCCACGTCCACCCCACGTCCACCCCACGTCCCTCTCCCCCCACTCCCCACGTCCACCCGGCGTCTCTCTCCCCCCACTCCCCGCGTCCACCCCGCGTCCACCCCACGTCTCTCTCCCCCCACTCCCCACGTCCCTGTCCCCCCACTCCCCGCGTCCACCCCACGTCCACCCCACGTCCCTCTCCCCCCACTCCCCACGTCCACCCGGCGTCTCTCTCCCCCCACTCCCCGCGTCCACCCCGCGTCCACCCCACGTCTTTCTCCCCCCACTCCCCACGTCCCTGTCCCCCCACTCCCCGCGTCCACCCCGCGTCCACCCCGCGTCCACCCCACGTCCACCCCACGTCCCTGTCCCCCCACTCCCCACGTCTCTCTCCCCCCACTCCCCACGTCCACCCCACGTCCACCCCACGTCCACCCCACGTCCCTGTCCCCCCACTCCCCACGTCCACCCCACGTCCACCCCACGTCCACCCCACGTCCCTCTCCCCCCACTCCCCACGTCCACCCCACGTCTCTGTCCCCCCACTCCCCACGTCCCTGTCCCCCCACTCCCCGCGTCCACCCCACGTCCCTCTCCCCCCACGACCACCCCACGTCCCTCTCCCCCCACGTCCACCCCACGTCCCTCTCCCCCCACGTCCACCCCACGTCCCTGTCCCCCCACTCCCCACGTCCCTGTCCCCCCACTCCCCACGTCCCTGTCCCCCCACTCCCCACGTCTCTCTCCCCCCACTCCCCACGTCCACCCCACGTCCACCCCACGTCCACCCCACGTCCCTGTCCCCCCACTCCCCACGTCTCTCTCCCCCCACTCCCCACGTCCACCCCACGTCCACCCCACGTCCCTCTCCCCCCACTCCCCACGTCCACCCCACGTCCCTGTCCCCCCACTCCCCACGTCCCTGTCCCCCCACTCCCCACGTCCCTGTCCCCCCACTCCCCACGTCCCTGTCCCCCCACTCCCCGCGTGCCAGGAGACAAGGACGTTCTGTGTGGAGCCCCTGGGGGCCGAGTGGCAGCACCTGGCCCTGCAGGTGCTGGACGTGGCCCTGTCCAGCTCCGAGCTCGCGCTGGCGATCACCGCCGGCGTCTCCCAGGGGCGCCGCCTGGTCGCCTCACGGGTACCACAGCCCCTACAGAGTCTGTCTGTCTGACTGTCTGTCTGACTGTCTATCTAGAGTGTCTGTCTGACTGTCTAGAGCGTCTGTCTGACTGTCTAGAGCGTCTCCCAGGGGCGCCGCCTGGTCGCCTCACGGGTACCACAGCCCGGACAGTCTGTCTGTCTGACTGTCTATCTAGAGTGTCTGTCTGAGTGTCTATCTAGAGCAGTGGTTCTTAACCTTGTTGGAGGTACCGAACCCCACCAGTTTCATATGCGCATTCACCGAACCCCTCTTTAGTGAAAAATAAAATGTGATTTTTTTCAAATTCAAGACATAGATATGTTTTTTACTGGTACACAAAATGAGCCGTGCATGAACATTACCTTGTTCAAAGAATAAAACCAACACAATGCATAAACTCACAACAATTACATACCTGGAAATCAATGTGACTTCTGCTGTTGCCTTTGAGAGATCAGTTCAGATATGCGTGGCTTCACCTTGGCAAGTGCCACTCTCATGTCATTTTCACAGCAAAGTCTGTTCCTTTTTTTCGTTTTTATGTCCAGCATCCTCGAAAAGGATTGCTCACAAAGATATGTTGTAACAAATGGTATAAAAAAATCCAGGGCTTTCTTAGCAATAACTGGATACTTGTTCATTTGTCGACACCAAAACGTTGAGAGCGTTGTTGTTCTGAAGAGTTGCTGTTGAACCTGGCTCTGCTGAATTTCAATGATTTCGTCGAGGAATTCATCATTGACATCTGCTGTTTCAACAGCAAACGTGAACGGCTGTCTCACCCATGCTGGATATGACTCTCTTGTAGGGAAATATCCGTCGAGAGACTTTGCAAGCTCATCTAAGTGCGTGGCAATTGTTTGCTTCAGTTCCGTGGATACAGAAATATCTCCGATTCCAGACACATCTTCGATCTTACTTGCACAGTCGTCCAGAAGCGGGAAGTTTGCGAAGTTATTGTTCTCTCTGTTCGTCGTTTCCATAACGGTAGCTTTTTTTGAAAAGCCTTCAGGTGTTCTTCCGCTTCCATGATATTGACTCCACCACCCTGCATCTGCTGATTGAGATGATTGAGAGCTGCGAATATATCAGCCATGTACGCTAAAATGAGAATGAACTCAGGATTTTTGAAGCAATCTGCATGGCAGTGTTGGTGCTCTTGCAAAAACAGGGCTAATTCCACACGCATGGCAAAAACACGATTCAGCACCTGTCCCCGGGATAACCACCGAATATTAGAATGGAGCAGAAGTACCTCAAATTCAGAGCCCATTTCTTTACACAGCTCACTGAAGATGCGGTGCCTCAGAGCACTTTTTCGCACATAGTTCACACATTCCAACACAGTTTTTAATACTTCTGCCATTTTTGGAGGTAAGGTTTTTGTTGCCAACGCATGCCTGTGCAGAATACAATGCGTCACAATGATGTGTGGTGCATCGGCCTTTACTAGCGCACCAAAACCAGACTTTCTTCCCAGCATGACTGGAGCTCCGTCCGTACAAACTGCAGAAACCATATCCCATGAAAGATTGTTGTCTCTGAAGAAGTCATCCACAAGCTTCTTCACATCGGCTGCCTTCATTGTTGTTGTTAGAGACTTACAAAATAAAAACTCTTCTTTTATCATGTCATCTTTCACATAGCGTACAAAAACAGCAAGCTGGCTTAGATCAGAAACGTCTGTGGTTTCGTCGAGTTGAAGGCTGAATTTTGCCGGGCTTGAAATCAGATCCGCGACTACTTGAGCCAAGATGTCTTTACTCATGTCTTCTATTCTGTCACTGACGGTGTCATTTGAAAGGGGAATTTGGGATAATTTACCTTCGGCCGCTGTTCCGAGTATCAGATTCCCCATCTTTAATGCAGCTGGTTTCACAAGTGTTTCACCAATGGTGTGTGGCTTGCCCTGCTTTGCGATCAGGTAAGCAACTTCGTACGATGCTGTCAGGATCGGTTTGTTAACAGGTACAAATCCAAGAGCAGGCAGAATGGCCCTTTCATCGAATCTGGCTCTCTTCACCCTGAATTCAGCAAGTGTTGTGTTCTTGTATTCCCCGTCTCCATGCAGCTTCAAGAAGTGTTCCTTTAGTTTTGCCGGTGCAAGACTAGAGTTGCTCAACTTGGCGTTGCAAATCATGCAGATAGGACGCTCACTCCCATCACGTTCCGTGATACATGAGAATCCATGTTGTACATATTCGTCCGACCACTTTCTTCTTTTGCCCGACATAGTTAGTATGGATAAAATATTAAAGAAATCACACGACGTACGACAACAACAGTCACACGTTGACTACTGAGTACGCACTAAATTCCCCGCAGCGCTGATTGGCCAAGCAGTGTAGCATGATCATCTGCAGCCAGTGATGGCCAAGCGGGCCGTGTGTGTCATCACAAATTTACACAATAACTCAAGTGTGTCCGGACCTCCGTGGCGGGGGCTCTGCCGAACCCCTGAGATCGACTCACCGAACCCCTGGGGTTCGATCGAACCCCGGTTAAGAACCACTGATCTAGAGTGTCTGTCTGAGTGTCTAGAGCGTCTCCCAGGGGCACCGGCTGGTCTCCTCACGGGTACCACAGCCCCTACAGAGTCTGTCTGACTGTCTATCTAGAGTGTCTGTCTGACTGTCTGTCTGTCTATTTAGAGAGTCTGTCTGTCTGAGTGTCTAGAGTGTCTGTCTGAGTGTCTAGAGCGTCTGTCTGAGTGTCTAGAGCGTCTCCCAGGGGCGCCGCCTGGTCTCCTCACGGGTACCACAGCCCCTACAGAGTCTGTCTGTCTGTCTGTCTATCTGAGTGTCTGTCTGAGTGTCTAGAGTGTCTGTCTGACTGTCTAGAGCGTCTGTCTGAGTGTCTAGAGCGTCTCCCAGGGGCACCGGCTGGTCTCCTCACGGGTACCACAGCCCTTACAGTCTGTCTGTCCATCTAGAGTGTCTGTCTGAGTGTCTGTCTGTCTGACTGTCTATCTAGAGTGTCTGTCTGTCTGAGTGTCTGTCTGTCTATCTAGAGTGTCTGTCTGAGTGTCTATCTAGAGTGTCTGTCTGAGTGTCTAGAGTGTCTGTCTGACTGTCTAGAGCGTTTCCCAGGGGCGCCGGCTGTTCTCCTCACGGGTACCACAGCCCCTACAGAGTCTGTCTGACTGTCTGTCTGACTGTCTATCTAGAGTGTCTGTCTATCTAGAGTGTCTGTCTGAGTGTCTAGAGCGTCTGTCTGAGTGTCTAGAGCGTCTGTCTGAGTGTCTAGAGCGTCTGTATGAGTGTCTAGAGCGTCTGTATGAGTGTCTAGAGTGTCTGTATGAGTGTCTAGAGCGTCTGTATGAGTGTCTAGAGCGTCTGTATGAGTGTCTAGAGTGTCTGTATGAGTGTCTAGAGCGTCTGTCTGTCTAGAACGTCTGTCTGACTGTCTAGAGTGTCTGTCTGAGTGTCTAGAGCGTCTGTCTACGTGATCTAGACGCAACATTCATATCTACGTGATCTAGACGCAACATTCACATCTACGTGATCTAGACGCAACATTCATATCTACGTGATCTAGACACAACATTCATATCTACGTGATCTAGACACAACATTCACATCTACGTGATCTAGACGCAACATTCATATCTACGTGATCTAGACGCAACATTCATATCTACGTGATCTAGACACAACATTCATATCTACGTGATCTAGACGCAACATTCACATCTACGTGATCTAGACACAACATTCATATCTACGTGATCTAGACGCAACATTCATATCTACGTGATCTAGACACAACATTCATATCTACGTGATCTAGACGCAACATTCATATCTACGTGATCTAGACGCAACATTCATATCTACGTGATCTAGACGCAACATTCATATCTACGTGATCTAGACGGAACAGTCACATCTACGTGATCTAGACACAACATTCATATCTACGTGATCTAGACACAACATTCATATCTACGCGATCTAGACGCAACATTAATATCTACATGATCTAGACACAGCATTCATATCTACGTGATCTAGACGCAACATTCATATCTACGTGATCTAGACACAACATTCATATCTATGTGATCTAGACACAACATTCATATCTACGTGATCTAGACAACATTCACATCTACGTGCTCTAGACGCAACATTCATATCTATGTGATCTAGACGCAATATTCATATCTACGTGATCTAGACGCAACATCCATATCTACGTGATCTAGACGCAACATTCATATCTACGTGATCTAGACACAACATTCATATCTACGTGATCTAGACGCAACATTCATATCTACGTGATCTAGACGCAACATTCATATCTACGTGATCTAGACGCAACATTCATATCTACGTGATCTAGACGCAACATTCATATCTACGTGATCTAGACGTAACAATCATATCTACGTGATCTAGACACAACATTCATATCTAGGTGATCTAGACGCAACATTCATATCTACGTGATCTAGAGGCAACATTCATATCTACGTGATCTAGACGCAACATTCATATCTACGTCATCTAGACACAACATTCATATCTACGTGATCTAGACACAACATTCATATCTACGTGATCTAGACGCAACATTCATATCTACGTGATCTAGAAGCAACATTCATATCTACGTGATCTAGACGCAACATTTATATCTACGTGATCTAGACGCGACATTCATATCTACGTGATCTAGACGTGACATTCATATCTACGTGATCTAGACGCAACATTCACATCTACGTGATCTAGACGCAACATTCATATCTACGTCATCTAGACGCAACATTCACATCTACGTGATCTAGAGGCAACATTCATATCTACGTGATCTAGACGCAACATTCATATCTACATGATCTAGACGCAGCATTCATATCTACGTGATCTAGACACAACATTCACATCTACGTGATCTAGACGCAACATTCATATCTACGTCATCTAGACGCAACATTCACATCTACGTGATCTAGAGGCAACATTCATATCTACGTGATCTAGACACAACATTCATATCTACGTGATCTAGACGCAACATTC